TTTAAAAAGAGGAGATTGAAAATATGAGCCAGAAACAAAATACTCTACAAAGGACCTCATCTGGGAAAAAAATAAACCTGAAAAATGAAAATAAGGAGATACATTAAAGAGCAAATCAGATACAGATGAAAAGAGCACTCTGGGATGGGAACGATCAGATACCGAGAAACTACCAGAAAGAGGGAAGAAAGCAGAGAAAGGAAAGGAGGCGGCAGGGGCTTTCTGGGCCAAGAGGAGGCCGTTGTCCACCCAGAGCGCCCCCACTGAGCCCCACCCAGGAATGAAGAGAAAGAGACGTCTTCAGAAAACCAAGAACTGACAGCCCCCAGGCCTCATCTGCAAAGTCTGAGGAGGATGCTTCTGGGGAGTTAAGGAAGAATGTGAGCAAAAAAAGGCAAACCGAAGGAAACCTAGGACAGCCTGACCATTCAGGCAGTAGTAAAATGTAGGGGGTCCTAAAAACTAAGGTAAGGCAAATCCTGGACAGCAGATACCACCACGGATGGAGGGTGACGAAGTCACCTGAGCTCTTATGCAGAATGAAACTTTCTCCTTCAAATCGTTGTGCTGGCAGCTCACGCCGCTTACACACACATGTGGACACGTCCAGGCCCATGGAGTGCCACCCACCCCGGGAGGCGGTTCCTGGGGCCTTTCGCTTGGCCGTTTTCAGCTGCAGTTCTGGCTTGCTGTCAGGAGGTGTATTAGATTCATTTTATGTCTATTATGTCATTTTCTGTGCTTTGGGTAGGACTGATGCATTTCATTTTCCAACAGTTCAACTGAACTGTCATCTCAAGGTGAACTAATGGAAGCTGCTCCAAATGCCCAGTCCTGTTTATAATCCCTCAACCAGAAAAGGAAATAGAAAATGGAAGAAAACCTGAAAGTAAAGTTTTTGAGGACATTTTCAGAACCTGAGCATATCGTCTGCTCTCTCCTTGAAACCGAGTCACAGAGCCGCAGTCACAGAGCCCTGCATCTTGAGGCTTAACAGGATGACAAGCTTCCACATGACCTGACTTCTTGAGCCTTGGAAAGAAGTCACCTCGGTGGCAGGTTTTCTGTTTTTCACCCCAAGGTCAGCAGTAACCTTTCAGAGTTCCTGCCGCCCTCACCAATTATGACCCGGAATTAATGGAGATATGCAGGGAAGGGATAGTCCTGGCTACCGGGATGGAAGTCCTCGATCCGGGTCAGATGCCAGGCTGCTCACTGTGTTCAGTGACCAGTTGTTGGCCCAGTGTTTGGGGACTGCGGCTTGCTTCTGGGGTGGGCTACTCAGCAGGAGGGTCTGCGGTGAAGACTGGCAGCACAGCGTCCACCCACTCAGCCATAAAGTCACTCAGGGACAGGGCAGAGCTGTGGCTTCTATAGGCGATGTGAGAGCGCTGAGTTCCTGAGATCATCTTTGCCCCTCATGGGGCCCCCTCAGCTCATGGACTTGGGGAGGGACCTCAAGACCATGTCAGTTTCTTTCCCAAGCAGATAGAGACACCCTGGTCAGCATGGGCTCACCTTCCTTCTGGGTGTGTGGCCGTTATGGGGTTGTTCTTTCCCTGTGTGAGTCTCCATGTTGCCAGTGTTCTTGCTGAGCCTGGTGTCTGCTTTTTGGAAGCAATGTCAGGAGCGTGGAGGTGTGCACTGAGCGAGGCTTCTGTCTAAGCAGAGCCATCATGCCCGCCTGCTCGGGAGGTCAGGGCAGCAGAGGTGGAAGCCCTGTGAGGTCCAGGTATGCTGCGACTGCCACTTCTTGCACATCATGCCTCTGGGGCTGCCCCACACCTTCACCTCCCGCTCTGCACCCAGGGGCTCGGCATGCAAATAGACCCTGGACAGCAAGGCAAGGACCTCCAAACAGGTCAAGGCACGCACTCAGTCTCCCTCTGAGTGGGACTGAAAAACAAATCATGTGAGGCTCTGTGGGTCGGTGGTCAGGGCTCGGGCTGCAGTGCCAGCAGAGCTTTCTGCCCTGATGTAGGCTCTCACCATCCGCTTTGTCCAGCGTGGCAGCTGCCAGCCACACGTGGCTCCAACACTTGAACTGTGGCCAGTGGAACTGAGTAACTGGAGCTAAAATTTTAATTTAGACTTAAGTAGCCATGTCTGGCAAGAAGCACTGTGAGCAAGCAGGTGCAGACTCCTTGAAATTTACCCCGGGGCTGTGCTGTCCCTGTGCAGGCGTAACAGAAAGACTCGCTCCAGCATCGTATTGAACGTTAGTTTGCCAGGTCAGGATCCATGCTAACCTGGATTACCTGGTCATGTTAATTAATTTAATTTTCTCATTAATATTGGTCATAGGCTCATTTTTTCCCCCAAATGTCATAGTTTGTTTCTAAAATACACTAGCCCACTATCAGCCTTCACAATCAGTGGTAAATAGAGGAAGCTTTCCTCGAAGTGTCATCACCTTGATCATGAAGAACAGTGCAGGGAGAGGGCGGTAGTGCCTTGCCGATAGGCCTGTCCAGATGCACGGGAGCAGGGCCTGCCCTGCATGCCCCCTCAGTGGGGCTTCCTCCCCTGCCCCAACTGGGTCTGCGGGCTCTGCTCCAGGCTGGGGCCTCCGCTCTGCCTCGATTTGGGCGCACACACCTCTGCCCCACCACTTCCCTGAAGGAGCTGGGACTCATTTGTCTGAGAGTCAGGTTAGAGGTACCCCAGGAACAGTGAGCACTGTCTCCTGGTCCTCCACTCTGCATGGCCCAGTGCTGTGTAAACCGCTAGACCAGGATGTTTATGCAAAACTGACTGGCCCTGCAGTTTCTGGGTTTCTCACAGGGACAAGCTTGCAGCTTCAGCCTCAGAACAATGGTCAGAGAAGGTGGGGGTGCCTTAAACATGACTCCCTGCTCCAGAGTTCCAACCCCAGGGGGCCCCAAGTGGGAGGTTGTCTGGGACAGGGTGGGGGTCGCTGAAAGAGGGCAACGGGACCCTCTGATCTTCTGGGACCACCCTGAGTAGGCAGACCTGGGTCCCAGGATTCCTACAACTCAAATGTAAATAAGGTAACTTGGTCCAACTAATGATTAAGTGTGCAGGCGTAACAGAAAGACTCGCTCCAGCATCGTATTGAACGTTAGTTTGCCAGGTCAGGATCCATGCTAACCTGGATTACCTGGTCATGTTAATTAATTTAATTTTCTCATTAATATTGGTCATAGGCTCATTTTTTCCCCCAAATGTCATAGTTTGTTTCTAAAATACACTAGCCCACTATCAGCCTTCACAATCAGTGGTAAATAGAGGAAGCTTTCCTCGAAGTGTCATCACCTTGATCATGAAGAACAGTGCAGGGAGAGGGCGGTAGTGCCTTGCCGATAGGCCTGTCCAGATGCACGGGAGCAGGGCCTGCCCTGCATGCCCCCTCAGTGGGGCTTCCTCCCCTGCCCCAACTGGGTCTGCGGGCTCTGCTCCAGGCTGGGGCCTCCGCTCTGCCTCGATTTGGGCGCACACACCTCTGCCCCACCACTTCCCTGAAGGAGCTGGGACTCATTTGTCTGAGAGTCAGGTTAGAGGTACCCCAGGAACAGTGAGCACTGTCTCCTGGTCCTCCACTCTGCATGGCCCAGTGCTGTGTAAACCGCTAGACCAGGATGTTTATGCAAAACTGACTGGCCCTGCAGTTTCTGGGTTTCTCACAGGGACAAGCTTGCAGCTTCAGCCTCAGAACAATGGTCAGAGAAGGTGGGGGTGCCTTAAACATGACTCCCTGCTCCAGAGTTCCAACCCCAGGGGGCCCCAAGTGGGAGGTTGTCTGGGACAGGGTGGGGGTCGCTGAAAGAGGGCAACGGGACCCTCTGATCTTCTGGGACCACCCTGAGTAGGCAGACCTGGGTCCCAGGATTCCTACAACTCAAATGTAAATAAGGTAACTTGGTCCAACTAATGATTAAGTGGTAATGTTATCGTTAAGAGCAAAACTAATAAGGTAGAGCTAGGGTATGCAGGCAATGGTTCTGCAAGGTGTCTGTGCTGACAGGTAGTAACTGCACTAGTGGGGATGGGCATCTAATAATGTGGGGAACTGCCAGCACTATGTTGTGCACTTGAGGCCAGTATAACATTGTACATCAACTACACTTTAGTAAAAAACACATCAGAAAGAGCCAGTAAGCAAGCTAATAAGTAGAAGCACAGAGCTTTTTGTTTCGCTTTGAGTTTTTATTATAAAATTACAGTGAGGTTTAGTAACATACAGATTTGTCAGGACTCGTTTGCAAGACAAAATTCACTGTGTAATAACATGTGGTTATTTTTCTCTTTATTTTATAAGAATTAGATAGTTGCATCAATAAAAATGAAAGCCAGGAAACAGCCCATGGGAACCAGGAATAAATTATGCCTCTTTGCAGCTGTCACTTGGTTTCCCATGACTGATGGTGACTCCCTTCTTCCAGCGCAGGACCCCTTGTGTTAGTGCCCCCAGAGGCCCCATTGGGGTGCTTCCCACTAGCCCTCTCCTGCTCCTTGTGATTTCATGGAGTTCAAGAGCACCAAGCCAAGAAGCCCACCAAACTAAAAAATGCGAGTAATACTAAATTACAAGGGACTGCGGCTCAGCCTCTGGTTCTATGTTAGAAGGTACCCTTTGTCTGAGCATGGACCGTGAGTGTACAGAGTCATGTGGGTTTTTCAATATATTCAGATGTGTGCGGCCACATGAGCTCTTCTGCCAACCCACCACCCAGGAGGGCTGAGCGCACCTGACCCGGTGCTTCAGGGTGTGGCAGGTCCTGTTCCCTCCAGATTGCTTTATGGTGACCATCCAAAGTCATTCACAATGAATTATAAGAAAACAGTGGGCATTTAAAGACATGAATGTGATCTTTTGGTTCACAGTGGAGGCAGAACCCCAAAACCATGCTCTTCCGTGTGTTCCCGGCAATCAGCAGCCCAAAGTGTTGGTGAGGGATGCACCTTGGGTCTGGGGACTGCCTGGATCCTTTGTCCCATGCTGGCCACCAAGAGCTCACAGATGCTTTCCTTCTTTGTAGATTATGTTTTATGTGCTGGTGAAGGCCACGTACACCCTGGGCTACAGCGTCTCTCTGATTTCCCTTACAACCGGAAGTATAATTCTCTGCCTCTTCAGGTAAGTAGTGGAAATGAGTGACTCTGCCAAGATTGTGAGCAGGAAGATGTGACCAGCATGAGCAGCCTCAGCCCAAGAGAGCACAGCCTGCTCCCTCTCTCCATGTGCTGAGCTAGTGAAACTCCC